CAAATGAAAATGAAAACTCAAAAATTAATATGTTCTTTTCTTGGGTTGTACAAATATAACATAAAATTATTTCTTGGGATGCTTCTACCTAATGTCTCTAGAGTTTCACTTACCAATATGACACTAAATGATTCCTTGGAACAAGGATTCATATTTCCAAACACATAAATCCAACTCTCTAGTTCTATATAACACATTTCAGGATCCCCAAATTAAATTCACCATAGCATATCACATATACTAATATCAAAAATAGTCTTCATTATTTCACAAAGTAAGTTTAAATGGGATCTATTTAAATAATCAATAGAAATTGTATAAAAATAAATGTGTATGCTTATATATATTACTACAATAGCAAAATGTACAGAGAGCTATGTGTCTTTCTTCATCTCACAAAGGTAACAAACTTTGAATGAAATATGTACACAAATAAATACATTTTTACTATAAAAACATTTTTATAATACAAATAAATTTTTCATAATTTGCTTCATGTCATATTTTCCACTTATACTATTACTTCCTTATTAGTACTTTATTTAGTTTTTCTTTTTCTTTTTAAAACATGGTCTCAGGTAACGCAGGCTGGCATTGAACTTGCTGTATAACTCAGGATGACTTTGAACTCTTGATCCTCCCACCTCTACTTTTCAAGTGCTGGAATTATAGGCATATGCAGCCGCAACCAGCTTTAATTTATTTTTTCCTAATCCAGAATGTTCTCAGAACTCTTCAAGAAGATAACACAATACTATGCCTATGAAATATGCCATGTCTTTTGAAGAAAAGTAAGATACTAAGAACCATTAAAGTTATTTACTCACAAATATAAACATATTTAGTGAAGTAAATTAGTCAGTTCACAAACATAACAATGTCACAACTCAGAAAAAAAAACCTGAAAATGGTATGTCATTGCTCAAAGATCCTCAAAGCCTGGATCATTTGTGCTGTATGGATCTATTATCTTCCAATAAAATTTTCAGTGTTCATCTGGCATTTGTCAGCATGGTCAGCTAAGAAGTGATGGTAGAGGCTTGAGTATATGTGTGCTAATGAAGTGAAGCTTTGAACGAGTACTTGGACTTTTCAAATTCCATCTGTCTCCAAATAATTTCAGCATGACCTATTGTAAATAAACAATGAAACGTTTTCTTTTAGTTCTTTCTCTCTTCTCCCCTTTTGTTCCCTCTAATTTGAGTTTATAACCCACAGGCTAAACATTTCTGTGTAATCTCACAAATCTCTAAAGGGTGAAATTAAAATACATGAATTCCAAATTTTGTCATAGAGTATAAATGTATATGCAAAGGTTTTTCTGTTTTGTTTTGTTTTTAAGAGGAGTGGTTGTTCAGAAAGTATGCAATGCATATTTCTATGGAATTTTTGTGGTATCTGTCCAAAGTGCTGAAAATGTTTCCACTGGAGCAGGCTGCAGATTTTGTGGCCGGTACATCAGTGTAATGGTGACTTTGGGATGCAGTGTTGTCTCTTTCTAAACCAATGATCTTTCGAAATGGAAACTCACATCATAAAGGACAGAAGTATTCATAACTGTCCATTAGGTGTGTAATTACATTGCAATAACAGATAAATTGAGAAGATTCACTTCACTTCATAAAGAAAGCACAAAGCACACACATCAAAACATGCCTAAACCCTCAAAAAGTTATAATAAAATGTTAAATGTCTCAGAATCTCCAGAGGAAAGGGATGCGTAGGTGCCGGGCAATGCTCTCTAAGCTGTTCTAGTCAACCAGCCTGAACCAGCCCTGGGAATACAGGCAATCTTTAGCTCACTCCTTAGGCATTTCAAACAATAAAACACCGTGTTCAGAAATGAAAAGAAGAGAGCAGCATGAATTAACCTTTCCACTGGTCAATACCACTTATTTTAAAGAAGTAAAGTGATGCCTAGTACCCACTACCTGCTTGGATACTCAAACTGATTCAAATGAGGCAGAATGAATGTTCTGACTAAATAAACTATAAGACTTTATTTTCCCCTTCTGAAAGCCCCCTTTTACACTGCTTGCACTCTGAAGAGAGATGTAGACAGCCATAAATTCCATCACTGGGTGAAGAAACTTCCAGGCCAACCACCACCTCACCCTGAGGGATCCCAAGTGTAGATTAGACTCAGAACACCTCTTCCTTGGTGGGACTGCCCTGGTTTCTTTTCACCAAGTCCTGTAGCCTGGGCTCCCTCTTCTGCATATGGCTCTGCTGCCCCGGAGTAACCGGGTAAGCTTTGTGTCTGAGATTAAGGGAAGGGTCCATCCATGGGAAAAGAAAGAGTGCGGGGGTGGGGGTGGGGGATTAGAGTGACATTCAGATCCAGGCAATCTATCCTGAGTGAGATATGCTTTCAGCACCACCCACTGTCCCCCCTCTCCCTGCAGGGAGCCCTGGAGCTTGACCAGGACCAAAACTATGGGTAAGCTTTCCTTCCTCCTTTCCTCCTCTGCCTTTGCTTTTATCAATTTCAAGCCTTTGGGTGGTTTGGGGAAGTAAAGTCTGCTTCCGAAACCATGTTCCTCTTGCCTTAAAGAGCAAGCTCTCACTCTCAAAGGCATACAAATGGCCTGTCTCAGCCCTTGGATCTCTTCTCCTTTACCCTCTTACTCGCGCCTTTTCCAATAACAGGTATAATTAACCATGGCCTCCTGCAAAAGGAGCAGATGTGAACCTCCTCAGCTCCGGTCGCTACCCCCACATCTCCCCTCCCGCTCCACCCACAGTCTCCCTCCCCTATACCACACTGTGAGCTGCTACAAAAGCCAAAAGCTCCTAAATCCTTCTCAGGTCAGAGGATACCTGGGCACACAAACACTTAGCAAGCTTACCCCCTGTCGGCCACGCAGCGGATAGTGAGATGCCTCTAGCTAGCCTCTTGTAGTAAAGTTGGTTCGCGGGGATCAGCGGGGTTGAGCCAGGCTTTCCAGTCCCGGGCTGCCCCCCCCACCCCAAGATGATCTCAAGCTCATCCCCAGAGCTCCGCGTGCACAGAACAGCCGAGCTGAGGGCGGCGTGTGCAGCAATCTTCCCGCTACCAAGAAACGGGGGAAGGGGAGAAGGGGAGAGCGGAGGAGGGGAGGGGTGGTAGTTAGTATTTATAGAGAAGAGACTTCTCTGTGCAACTTTTTGGTGCCACCAAGTGGCACAGTGAGTTCGTTTAGGAACACAGACTCCTGGGCAGATCAGGATGGGCAGACAAGCTTCAAAGCCAGAAACTCACATGGCAGGGGTGCTGAAGACACCCCCGGAGTTGAGCTTGTGAACATTGCACCATCTCAGCATCTGGGATGCAAATCCATAAATCCTAAGAATGAATCTATATTGATGGAGAAAGGACATCTATATCTTCTCCAGTCAAGTGGAAATGGCTTCAATGTATGTTGAGTGACAGATGCTCCTTTGGACTACAGACATGCTTGCCCTAAGGAAAATTTTCCATTCTTTCCTGCCTCATTGACTCCTCTACCTATATTGTAGTACTGTCATATCCCACTTCAAAACCTTCTTCTTGCTGCCCTGAGTGACCAACTTTTCAACTGGGATGTCATTTTCCCTGTGTGAAAATCAATTTTAGATAACTTTCCAAATCATCACATTCACAGTGTGTCACCAAAACATCCTTTTCAATCACTGCCTGACAAACAAAACATGACTTTAGATTCTGTGCAACTGAACCTAACCAAATAGCTCTCAAAACTCCAGAATCCTTATGTTGTGGCTGGATGTTTGGTTGTCCTCACCTCTTTCCAGACCTCTCAGCATGCACCATCCCAGCAACACAGTCAGGATTTGCCATTGTTTTAAATATTTTGAGGGAGAGCACCTTGCAAGTCTATTTATCTGTATTTTCTAGGTGCTCTCCCTCCCCCTTTTTGTATGCAAAGTCTTCAAATCCATACAAACAGGGACACTATTCCATGAGACTTTAGTGTCCCAAAATTCCTTATACTCTCTACTACTTGCAAATGAAGAAAGTGAGTATACAGTGGCTGAAATACTTGCTCAAGGTCACATATTCTCCTAGCATGTAGTCCAAGGGCATCCTGGGTTATGACTGAATGAACATGGATACCAAAACTGTCGGCTAGAACCCTTGTGGTTCTACTACCCCACATAGCACATTCTGTCATAGTCAATTCCCGCTTTCTCTCTATGGTCTCTGTCATCATCCTTTATGAAAGTTCTACCAAGAACTAAGGGTAATGATCCCAGCCAGCTTTGCTAGGCATACATGCATTTAGTTTTAAAGGTCAGGATGTGCTGCTATGCCCCTTAAATGCATCCACAATTTTATCCTTCTGGTATTGTACTCATGCAAGTACCATTTGCGTATTACAATCCTTGGTATTCAAAAGCCAAAATTACCCCCCTCCTTTTGTGCCTTGTTTTGGGGTGCAGCACCAGAAAATGCTCTTAGTAGACTCGGAGAGTTTAATGGCTTCAGCGATCTAGAAGTCTCCTCCGTTGCTAAATGCATGCTTTTTCGGTGCACATGTACCAGCATGAGACATGCAGAGAGACAGAGAAACAGAGACATAGAGATAGAGAGGCAAAGGCTTCATTTAGCTCCGTCTTTTTCTTCCTGATTATTTTAGTTCTTTTTCTATGGAAACAAGCCCACTTAAACCCTTCACTTACGTAAATAAAACACACACACTCAAAAAAAAAAAATGTTGGAAAAAAAACCTCCCATTGGAACCATATCACAGTATCCCAGGCTCCTGACTCAAAATTCATGTCTGATGCACAGGGTACATGTCCTTGCAGGGTGACTTCTTTAAACTTACAGGACCTCCTAGCGTCCCTGGCTCCTACAGTCCTCCACCTGCCCACCACCTGCCCTCCTGGGTCCCTTTAGTCCAAGCTCCCGCCCCTGGCTTGCTCACTCCCCATCCCTGCGCTGGGGGAGGGGCTCCGGCGGCATTCTACATCCCTGGTAACTCTACAGCTGAGAGAATGAAAAATCGCGCTGTGCTTACCAGGTGCGCGCCCTGAGTCTTGCTCCCCCGGCCAGCTGCTGGTTGAGAGCTCCCAGTGCTGTCAGAGAGGCCTTGGCTGCTGCTGGAGCGCTAGTGGCTGCGATGGAAGCGGTAGTGGCAGCCAGCAGAACGGCTGCGGGCCGGCGGTGGTGGCGCTAGCTCTCTCGCGCCAGCGCCTGGGGCACGTGCCGCGCTCTGGCAGACGCAGCTGGAAGCGCAGCGCAGGACTGGCTCCTACTCCTGCACCGCACGACTGGGGACTGCAGGATTGCCTGGGCTTCGGAGCGAACACTGGTCCTAAAGCCTCATGGTCGGCGAGCGTAGCTTTGGGCTCCCTCTCCAGCTAAGTCTATTCCCTCCTGGAGCTGGAAAAGCAGAGCTGTGCTAGGAGGCGTGGGTGGCGTTGTCACTCAGAGAGAGGCTGGAGACCAGGTAGATAGCCTCTTTCTGACAGTTGTACTTAAACTCCTGACAGTGATTGGGAGAAGGGGCGTCATTGCTGGAGGGCAGAGATAGGAAGTCAGGGAACCCTGAGATGATTCAGAAGTGTGAGTGCTTAGAAAGACTGATTTATTTAATGGCATCGTTTATTAATGCCATTTTGCATTTGTCTGCACTTGTAACAAACGATTCTTCCTCCAGCCATTAAAACTCTTCCTTTGTAGCAGTTAAATGTCCTTTACTTCCTCCAGTGACTTGGTTCCCTTCCCCTGCTACTCTATTACTGCACAGGACTGTCAAAAATGTCGAGGCTATCTTAAATTATAAAACACACTTCATTTCTTTGTAGAAAAAGAGATTGGTATAAATTTTTTGCATGGCTTAAACAAAAGAAGGACATTGCAGTAATACCATTATTGCTTAGACAAATTTCAGGAGGTGTGTGACTTTCATAGCTGGATGAAAAATTCAAAGATGACCACACTAACATTAAGGATGTCAGTTATTAGTAACTACTAATAGTTGCTTTTAGACACTTGACCATAATGTTGCATCAGTTATATAACATGAGAAAGGAACCTAAGACTGTATCTACCAAACTGCTTGAGCGTTACGGTGGTATGTTTCTCCCTACCACAGAAACACTTGCACAACTGTGTTGTTGCAGCCCATTTCACAGCAACAACTGATTGGAAACAATCTAGATGTCCACCAACAAATGAATGGCTAATGAAATGTGGTATATGTACACATATACACAATAGAATTTTATTCAGCTGTAAAGTAAAATGAAACTATGAAATTTACAGAAAATGTCTAAACCTGGAAAGTATATTATTCAGGGAGGTGACCCAAACTCATGATGAAAATATCATGTTTTCGCTCATATAGAGACTGTAGCTTTGTAATATGTGCGTGTTGTATATAAACGTCTGCTAATGAGTGTAAAGCCTTAAAAGGAAAAAAACTAGAAGAGATCAAGGGAGGACAAAAAGAAGGGCTTGTGGAAGGGGCTGAGGTGGCAAAATAACATGTGTGAAATGAAAATGGAAAAGAGATTGAGGAGGAGAGATTATCAGGGGAGGAGAGGGAGGAAGGGGAGACGAAGTGGAAGGATGAAACACATTTTTGTTTGAAAATGACATAATGACATGTGCTATCCTCCATGCAAAATGATGTGTTTTTATTTTTCTATGTCTCTGATGGTGGAATTGATCATTTTCAGGTACTTCGAGTACAGTCCACAAGGCAAGTTTCAGTACATTCTAGAAATTTCACCCAAGTTGTAGCTGACCTTCCTGAATCCAATAAAGTATGGGATATTGTACAAGTGAGAAAAATGTTAAATATGAGTGTTCTTAATAAAATGAAAGTAACTTGATTTGTTCCAGTGAGGCAATTAAATGTAATGAATAAAGTGGTCTTGTGACCTAATTATCTGAAGAACTGATGATGAGAATAGGGTCATAGATCTTGTCTTTGTAGGACATTTAGCTTTGAGGAAGCCTAGCATTCTTCAAGTTCTCCAGTCTTCACTTTGGGGCTGAGTCAAAGCACAGAAATAATTGGATTAGCCTCATCAAAAAATTCTCATGTTAAAGTCAAGCTTGGTGGCACATGCCTTTAATTCCAGCACTTGGGAAACAGCAGCAGGTGGATCTCTGTGAAATCAAGGCCAGCCTGGTCTACATAGTTAGTTATAGGCCAGTTGTGGCTACAGGAAGAACTTGTTTCAAAAAAGAATAAAATAATAATAATGATGATAATAATAACAATAACAATAACAATAATAATAGCTCTCATGTTAGCCACATGGTCACTTTAAAGTCTTCAAGATCCTACACATGTTTTCTTCTTTGCCTGTCTCCAAAGGTGATGGAAAGGATGAAATAAGACAGCCTAACCAATCAGAAAAGAAATGCACTCCCTAGTATAATGTGGTTTTCTCAGATCTTATTCACTTCCTATACTCTAAAAGTCAAGATGCAAAGGGAATTCTCCATGTGATCAATACCAATATGTTCAGATGAGAAGGGAACCATCATACAATCTTAAATGACTCTGTGATGTTTAAAAATAGTTTTGTCTCAAAAGTAAAAAGATCAATTATTTAAAAATATAGTTTTGTCTCACAATTACAAAATGGTGAATTACTTAAAATTTAAGTTGTAAGGGGTATAAGAACAATGTCTTAGGTCCCAAAATTACATTCTAATTATAAATTTCTCAGAGGTAAGAAAGACTTTTGTTTTAGGGTAATCTATTAATGAAAATATTCTAATTTTTATTGGGAAGGAAAAAATGATCAATCCATTTATACATATAGATCAACCTTTTTCTCATTGGGGGCTCTTCTACTCCTTCCACACGTGACAGGAAATCCTATTCCCTCTACTTTAAGAACATGTTGTATAAGCCCAGCTCTTCTGGCCTTTCTCAGATACCATGTTGAACCAGATCACTGTCCCCTTTTAGCTATAGATGCCAAATTGGTGATGTTTTAAAGCACACATCTTCAAAGACAACTCACTTGCTGTTTCACTCAGGGTACAAACCTGTGTCTTTTCCATTGGCCTAAATAATTATTGGAATATTTGAATCTACTCATCACATTTTTTAGTATTTATTTTTTCCCTAATAGTTTTCCCCTTTGCTCATTAAACTGCAGTCACCAGCTCTTTCCTGTTCCTCTAAGTTCTCTGACATGTCCTCGTCTAATGGCCTTGTAAATATGTTTCTTTTTCATGAAATGTTTTTTCTAAGTCATGACTAGGGAAATTATTTTGTCTCTTTCAATTCTTTGTAAAAGTCTTACCTCTTTGATTTTAATACTATGAATTATCTTACCCCAGATCTCAGCATCCCTGATGTCCTTTGTTCAATGTTGTTTTCCACTTAGAGCTAGTATTACAGTCCTCAATATGGTATAATTAACTCAGTTGTTATCATAATTGGTTTATTGGATGGCTCTCCCCTGTATTAAGACATAAATTTTTCAAATAATTTTTGTTTAATTAACATATTCCAAACAAAAATTCCAGCAAACAGAAGAAATTCAATGAATATTTTGAATTTTAAGTGATATAAGCTATATCTACTATATACTGTCTTTCATTGTCCAAGTTGGCAACACAGAGGATAAATCTCATAAGTACTTACAGGAAGTATGAAAGATGACTGTGTGACAATCTCTTTTCCCAACTTGGACACAACCACCTCTTATATCATGTTTTTTAGGCTTGAAAGAGGCTGTTGCAATGCTAAATGTTCTGCAACATTTTAGTGATCCAGACCCCTTAGTTAAAAGATAAGTGTCATTAAAAATATGTCTGAGCCAAGCATGATGGCACAAGCCTTTAATCTTAGGACTGTAGAGGCACAGGCAAGTGGATCTCTGTGAGTTCAAGGCCAGCCTGATCTACATAGTGAGTTCCAGGCCAACTGGGACTACAGGGAGACCCTATCTCAAAAAGACCAAATAAATAAATATAAAAAACTAAAAATATAACTTCTGAAATATTTTTCACTAATTAAAAAAGTTAGAATCTTCATAAAGGATTTTATAAAAGAAATAGAAAAATCACATTATGTGGTCTTATATAGTATTTCAACAAAATCCAGGCATATTTTATTATTTTATGTGTATGAGTATGTTATCTGTGTATGTGTAAGCACACCCATATCATGAAGTGCCTGCAGAGGTTAGAAGAAATGTCAGATCCCCTGGAACTGGAGTTATAGACAGTTGTTAGCCCCTATGTGGATGCTGGGAATGGAACCCAAGTCCTCTGCAAGAGCAGCCAGTGCTCTTTACCACTGAGCCATTTCTCCAGCCCCATAAGATGGGATTTTAATTCAAAGGAGTTGTTATTTAAAATCTAGGTCTCTTATCTCTCTTTTCTCCAGAAAAACAAAGAAGAAGAATATGGCTATCTGATTCTGGTTTTCTCCCAATGCAGAGAAGAAATAATGAGGCAACTTAGTAGGAGCTACTGCTGCTTTAGTCATTGTTTCTGAGCATGAAGTTCGTTTGTAGAAGTCCTCTCAACACCCAGCAAACAGAAATGCTCATCCTCACTTAGTGACCACTGGTCACGATTAGCTCTTATCACAAGAGTTTCCAAAAGCCCAGATGAATATCAAGGTGCAGTTCTCTTCAAGTCCCCCATGTAAGGGTGTGATAGGATATCCCACTGGGTATCAGTCTACCAAAATGGAATTTGAAAACTCATTCTGGATGTTTCTTAAATGTAGGAATTGAACAACCTCCTGAACCTTCAAGTCTTATTCCATATCTGGGAATGGGAAATGAGAAAGAAAATTTTTAAACATTGAAATTTTTGGTTATACATAAGGTTGCTGGCAAAAAAGTGTTATTCAATGTCTCAGTAAATTTGTTATTTTTCCCCTCATATTGCCTCATAACCTGTCTCTATTGTTTCAATATAGTACTGTGTATAGGCAAGAATTTGGATAATGGTGTTGTATTATTAGGGTTATAAAATAACAAAATATAACTTCTTTCTCAATTTTTAAAATTTTTTATAGAAATTTCATGTTTTGTTTCTCTTAAAGGTATATAATAGCACCTGTCTAGTGAGGTTGCTGGTAAGATAAGCTATAATGCACAAGACGAAACTGCAGGTCCTGACAGTGGCAGGCACACGGTATTCAGTGCTGACAATGATGGGAATGAAACCTCACTTCACCCTCTATTTAGTTACATCCCAGACATTAGGGTGCCTAAGACACTACATGTGAGTTCCACTTCTTCAATCATTTGGGAACTCAAGAATCAACTTCTACTCTGGTAAAGTTCATCTCTTTATAAATGTATTCAAATCACAGGGTCAGATATTATGGTAATTCTTAGTGAATGAGTTTTGGCAAAAGAAGTGAATTT